ATTTTATTGGCCATTCTTTTGCCACAAAATGGACAAAGGTGCTTCTTAATATCAAAATGACGCTTCTGATGCATCTTGAGATTCTGTCTTGTTTTGAAAGAGGCGTGACAATATTCACAGATTTCGCTACGTTCCTCACAGTGAATGGTTCTCTTATGAAGCTTTAGAGTGGCCCCACACGTGAACGTTTTGATGCACATGTCACAAGAGAAAGGACGTTCTCCCGTGTGTCTCCGTACATGTATCTTCATATTTCCGATTATTGGTGTATTATATTTGCAATGTGTGCACTTGAAGAATCTCTTGCCTGAAAGGAAAATAATTTTAAGATAGATCTCAATAAAAGATGTGCGTAAAAAAATAAAACATGGACACATACGCTCAAATCCAGTTGTTTTGTTGGTTTAAATAAAAGTTTGTTTTGTTTGTTGTTGTTTTTTTTTGTGTTTTTTTGTTTTTTTGTGTTTTTTTCATAGATTTTGTGCAGAAACTACAACTTCATTCAATCGTACATAATTTTTGTGTGTTTTTTAGGGTTAAATAACTGTCATACAAGAACTATAATCGGTCTTATATATTTCGTTCACCTGAGCACAATTACAAAAAGGTCATATTTTCTATAATGGAGATCATTAGTTGATATCATTCAATCAAGTCAATCAGTAGGACCAGCATACACAACTACTCAATGCCCATAGTTTAAACAAGCTTTCTAGAGGACCATTCCTCTCTTTATTTGTAAGTTTGGCTAAAGTCAAATCAAAGTTAAACAATGAATCCATACCTTATCTTCAACCAGAAGATGGTTTATAATTCAAGTAAGTGAGGTTCAACATTATCTTATTATAATATGTGAAAGGTTATTTTTCAACACATAAAACTATATGTGACGTAAATGGCAGTGTTTATTCTAGGAGGGGAATGGGGGATTCACTCATTTTTAGAGCCCCACCCCCTATTTTTTCAGAGGCAGGGGGGGGGTTTACATACAGAAAGAAGGAAAAATATCAACAAATGTAAAGAATTCTCATTTTTCGATAAAAAGCCCCCCTATTTCTAGACACTGAAACGGTATTTAAAGAGAATGCAAAAGTACACAGAACATAAGGATTCTGAGCTTTTGTAAATTACGAATGTCCACATTACAATAATAATACCAGGTTGTAGCCATTTGGTGACAATTCTCAAGCTGTTCCAATACAAGTCAAATATAAAAGTGACCTTGGGCTGAGACATTCTTTAAACCAAGGGGAAGAGTTATGCAACTGTAATAGTCGCCTACTAGGCAATTCTACATACCAAATATCTAAAATAAGCCCATGGCTATCAGTATTGAGTTTCAAAAAACTTAAGGATAATATTATGTAAAATGAACTAAATTGTAAGTCACAAATTCCTGTTCAAGTAAAACTGGCACCCTTATATTAGTTATCAAATAAAGAATGCTCCTCTGACATGCAAACTTTCCATTGAGAAATGAAATATTTCTATATAAAGCTTCGTCTATAATTTCAAGATACTCTTGGGTTCCTCTAAAATCTTGAAGCCTATGCAACTATACTGGGTTTGCAAAACCCACATATATTATCTGTAAGTATTGAAATATTATCTTCAGGAACATAAACCGATGTTCATGTAATTTGCCTGCTGGCAGCTACAAAATCTACCCAAGCATCCAGTGCAGACCCAAGATCAGCTTGCACATTTATGCCATCTGACCATGGCCTGCCCTGTTTGCTATTCAGTCGGTACATATTTTAAAAATTTTCATAAAATTGATGAATGGTCTTGAAATAAAGCAATTGGGTGAAATATCATGTATAAGATGGGAGCTAAAAAGGCACTTATTTATAACATTTTCAAGAACTGTATTTGAAATTATTAAATTAAAAGAGATATACAATACGTTTACTGCTAGTAAACCATCTTTGCTGATTAAAATACTTTTTATACTTTGGTATGCAAGGTTGATGTTACATTTGCAGAACAATATACAAATCAATTTTGAAGAAGTTTATTTTCTAATTTACATGTGAATATTGACAGCAACCAAAATGCAGATCCACCCTTAAAATTACAATAACTTATCTAATCTATAATTTTACAACAATTAAAAATATTGGACTGTTTGAAATCATTTATGTTCCTTTGTGTTAAAAACATTACAAAGACAAACTAGAAATGTGTCCATAGGACACTGATGCCCCCACACGCCACTGTTCTGTCAATCTTATGACTCTAGGTCAAATATTTTTTGGACTACATGTGCCACAAGTTGAAAACTAAAAATCAACAAAGGGCCATAATTCTGTTAAATTTGGTCGCAGCAAAAATTCCTTCCTTTACTACCATCTACACATTAAGGTTGTTCATCCCTGTAAGTTTAAGCAAAATCTGCCATCCGGTTTAAGAGGAGTTGCGTTCACAAAATTTCTACATAGTATATAATGAAAAAATCAACAAAGGGCCATAATTCTGTTAAATTTGGTTGCAGCAAAAATTCCTTCCTTTACTGCCATCTACACATTAAGGTTGTTCATCCCTGGAAGTTTAAGCAAAATCTGCCATCTGGTTTAAGAGGAGTTGCATTCACAAAATTTCTACATAGTATATAGTGAAAAAATCAACAAAGGGCCATAATTCTGTAAAATTTGGTCGCAGCGAAAATTCCTTCCTTTACTACCATCTACACCTTAAGGTTGTTCATCCCTGTAAGTTTAAGCAAAATCTGCCATCCGGTTTAAGAGGAGTTGCGTTCACAAAATTTCTACATAGTATATAGTGAAAAAATCAACAAAGGGCCATAATTCTGTTAAATTTGGTCGCAACAAAAATTCCTTCCTTTACTACCATCTACACATTAAGGTTGTTCATCCCTGTAAGTTTAAGCAAAATCTGCCATCCGGTTTAAGAGGAGTTGCGTTCACAAGATTTCGGGACGTACGGACGGACGGACGGACTGACTGACTGACGGATTGACGGACGGACGGACAAGTGCAACGCTATATGCTCCCACATTGTGGGGGCATAAAAATGTTACATAAAATTACCTTAAAGATATACTATGCTCAAATTTGATGTTAGAAAATATTGATTATTACTTTAAAGTCTCTTTATCAATACATGTATAAAATAAACATGTTTTGATTTCACACGAAGTAGATAAGTTATATTTAAAACACTATACGCTATAAGTGGTCATAATATGAACATGTAGTGTCATTAAAAAAAAATTGGCGGTTTTTTAAAGAACGTGCCGACTTTGCTTGACCAGTAATAGGAAACACAGCTTCCCATACATAGTCTATTCATTCTTTTATTTAAATTAGAGATATTCAGGAAGAATTTCATAGATTTCAAAAAATTTCCATGATTTTTTTTAAGATATCATATTTCACTCAGAGGTTTTTGTTTGTTTTTGGTTTTTCGTCACATCGACACAGTATAGGTCATATCGTGAAGTTCCAGCTTTACTGGTGGAGGAAGACCTCAGGTGCCCTTCCGTGCATTATTTCAGGCACGAACGGGCACCTGAGTAGAACCACTCAAGGAGGAGTATAGTATATCTTTAAGTTATACATAAACATAATCAAAATGTAAAGTTATATACACAGAACAACTATTTCATTAGGTTCGGAATAAAATTTTATGTACTACCAACATTAACTCTCTTTGTATTTTGTTACTTTTTTGTTAAAATCGTCCAACAATTCAAAATATAAAAGCTACTTTCAAAGTTACCCATGAACATATTACAAAGCAAGTTTTGATTAAAAATTGCTACAACTTTAGAAATACTGTCTTTACATATTATACATGTATATACATATATATACATATGATACAATAAAAAAGTTAATCGTCAGCCAGAATTAAATGGCATTATAGTGAGGTATTCATTTCTGTAGTCTTGGGACATTTCAAAATGAATGATCCTGGGCACTAAACCAGTGATCCTTGGTAATAAATCAGTACTTAATGTATTACTATTAATCAACACATAATGAATGAAAACCTTCAGCCAAATAATTACATTATTAAGATTATAAAAATGCAAAATAAATTTCTCAAATTTGATTGGCTTAAACATTTTGTATATCATGCTGTATAAAGTGTAAACACCATGAAGAACCGGCGGGCGCACAAATGACAATGTATTTCTATATTGTAGACGGTTTAAACTTGAACAAGAATTTGTAACAGAGTTACCAACATCCCCCGCCTCGGGGAAGTTTTATATGAAGCATAAAATTGTGCTTTTTCAAAAGATTGAGGTATGGATCTAAGGACTTTCCGTCCAAAATTATGATCAATGCTAGATCTGCAAATGCAACAATAAATTTATTAAAGAAATAAAATAAAACACTGAATTTAAAAATCTATCATGTTGAGCTTTGACCTCTAAGTGTGACCTTGACCTTGGAGGTAGGGGTGCATGTGTTGCGCATGACATATCGTCATATTATTGTAACTATTTGTACCAAGTATTTTCAAAATCCTTTGAACTATGAAGAAGTTATAGATGGGACACAAAATATACCCTCTATTAGACTATGTTCATCTTTGACCTCTTAGTGTGACCTTGGAGGTAGGGTCCTGACATATCGTCTAATTATTATTGTGATTATTTGTGCAAAGTATTTTATAATCCCTTGATCTATGAAAAAGTTATGGACTGGACACAAAATATACCCTATAACAGACTATGTAAATCTTTGACCTCTACATGTGACCTTGACATTGGAGGTAGGGACACTGGTGTAACGCATGACATATCATCTTATCATTGTGACTATTTGTGCCAAGTATTTTTAAAATCCCTTGATCTATGAAGAAGTTATGGAGGGGACACAAAATATACCATATAACAGACTGTTATTTTGACCTCTAAGTGTGACCTTGACCTTGGAGGTAGGGGTGCAGGTGTTGTACTTGACATATTGTCTTATTATTGTGACTATTTGTGCCAAGTTATTTCAAAATCCCTTGAACTATGAAGAAGTTCTACATTGGACACAATATATACCCTTTAAAAGACTATGTTAATTTTTGACCTCAAAATGTGACCTTGACCTTGGAGGTAGGGATGCTGGTGTTGCGCATGACACGTCTTATTATAGTGACTATTTGTGCCAAGTATTTTCAAAATCCTTTCATATAAGAAAAAGTTATGGACCAGACACAACATATACCCTATAACAGACTATGTTAATCTTTGAACTCCAAGTGTGACCTTGACCTTGGAGGTTGGTGACCGATTGTTGCGCATGACACATCATCTCATTATTGTGAACAATTGTGGCAAGTATTTACAAAATCCCTTCAAAGATAAGAAAGTTATAGACCGGACACGAGATATACCCTCAAATAGACAATGTTGACCTTGAATGAGCAAATGCGACCTTGACCCTGGAGGTAGGGGTCTGGTTGTTGCACATGACACATTGTCTTATTATAACAAACATTTGTGCCAAGTTATTTCAAATTCCTTTGATCAATGACAAAGTTATGGACTGGACACGAAATATACCCTGTAACAGACTATGTTAATCTTAACCACCAAGTGTGACCTTGACCTTGGAGGTAGGTGACCAGTTGTTTCACATGACACATCTTCTCATTATTGTGAACAATTGTGGCAAGTATTTACAAAATCCCTTCAAAGGTAAAAACGATATGGACCGGACACGAGATATACCCTCAAATAGACAATGCTGACCTTGAATGAGCAAGTGCGACCTTGACCCTGGAGGTAGGGGTCTGGTTGTTGCGCATGACACATCGTCTTATTATAACAAACATTTTTGCTAAGTTATTTCAGATTCCTTCAATAAATGACAAAGTTATGGACCCGACACGAAAGTGTGACTGATGGACGGACGGAAAGACGGACGGAGCCTATTTCTATATCTCCCTTTTTTCTTCGAAAAGGTGGGGGACAATTACTTTTTATGTACAGCATTGGCATACATGTAGCAGTTCAACATCCAATGTCATCTTATTTACGCGCACATTTTTCTCTGGCTTCTTTGAAAACAGTCTAAAATTACTGGATTTTCTTAAGAACTTTTGTTCAAAAACAATTTGCGTTATTATAAATTTGCTTTTTGTTAATTTGCTAACTGGATATATGGGAGAAAGTAAGGCTGAATGAGATAAATATGACCCCAAGTGCTCATTCAGCCAATATTCCCCCGTACATCACATCAACAACTTGTACAACAAATAACATAATTAATCCATTCATTTAATTTTAACACTAATTCTTCACTTGATAGGATTTCAAAACAAAGATATAACAGCACCTATAATGTTTACACAAATACTAAACTAACTGGGCTGTTATATTTCTTCTGAATATTGTAATGAAGTGACATAGTAATACTACTGCTGAACATAATCAGAAATATTACTGTTGACTAAGATGATGTCACATAATCAGTTATAACACTGCTAAAAATAAAAATGATGTGAAATAATCAGAAACATTACTGTTGAATAAGACAATGTGACATAATCAGCATAAAATTTAAATATTACTGCTGAATATGATGTGACAAGACACACACAGAAATATTACTGCTGAATAATACAATGTGACATAATCAGCATCAATATTACTGCTGAATATGATGTGACACAATCAGAATTATTACTGCCGAATAAGATTATGTGACATAATCAGAAATATTACTGCTAAAAATAGTTATAATGTGATATGATAAAATATTACTGCTGAATAAGATGATGCAACAAAATTGGCAAAATTAAAGCTAAATAGGGTGATCATGTGACTCAACCAAACATGCAGAATATTTTCACAAAAGATGTAGGAAATCTATATAATTTTATGCACTATTGAATAAACATGCTTCAATGTGATGGAATTATTAATACAGATATCAACAATTGTAGAGAAAAAGAACCAAGAATTTCAAACATTCAAAAAACATTAAACAACTGTAAAATATGTAAATTTCAAAACTTTAACACCAATTTCACACATCAAATTGAAGTTCTAAAACAGATCGAGTGAACAAAAACAGGTTTGTAACACAGAGCAATAGAACAGATTGATTTGGTTACATGTTAAGCCTTCAAGGAACAATATATTGCCATCGCAAAAAAAGTCCTCTCCCCCCAATTTTGAGCAAAATGCCAAATAATATTCCAGTCTAAAGTGTGGCTTTTAAAAAATGTTCCCTGAATACTGGGAAAATTTGATAGTTATTTGAAAAGAATATAAATTGCTTAAAACGTTTTGAAAATACATCCTACTACAAAAAGTAAAGCATCGACATTTCTGTGAGACAAGCAATCTGGAAAAAATTCATGCTAACCCTTGACACAACTAGAGCTATCACTGAAGGTGATAAATACCCCCACCAGCAGCTTTGACCATTTGAAAAATAACTGGTCTGAAGAAAAATTTGAACTCAACCTATAGTAAAGGTGTTTAATTAATTGCAATCCCAACCTGTCATAAACCAAGTTTGATAACAATATCTCATTCCTAACTCTAGTTACTGACCAGAAACCATTTTTCTATTTTTAGTTACAGTGACCTAGACCCCAGGAAGCTCAAATGCAACACCAGTCAGGATCTTCGTATAAGCTTGCTATACACCAAGTTTGATTACAATATCTCATTCCTAACTCTAGGTGTTGTCCGAAAACTATTTTTCTATCTTTAGTAATGGTGACCATGACCTCAGGCCATCCAAATGCAATAACAACCAGGGTCTTCATGTAAGCTTTCTGATAACAATATCTCATTCCTAACTCTAGCTAGTCCAGTAACCATTTTTCTTTTTTTAGTAATGGTGACCTTGCCCCCAAGAGGTCCAAATGCAATACCAACCAGAGTTTCCACATATGGTTGCTATATACCAAGTTTGATTACAATACCCCATTCCAAACTGTAATTACCGTCCTGAAATCATGATGTGGACAGAATGACAGACCAACAAGCTGACTCCTATATATCCCCCTAAACTTCGTTTGTGGGGGTATAACAAAGTTAAGAATTGTTTACTATTGTGCATCTGAATTTGTGCAACTGATTTGCCATGCTTTGCATTTGGAAGTTTTATCATTAATTTTATAAGTTTCTGTACTTTCAAAATTAATAGTATGGTATATATGCTAATATGGTATAATATGGTCAGACTGAACAAATGGTCAAACTGGCATATTTCTTAACTACTAGCATAGGCATGTATTTACTGTATTAAATGCTTCGAGTGCCAACTCTAAAAAGTTTAAATTTTCCATTTTTGAATTAAAATTCATGTTAAAATTTAAATTTTCCATTATTGCATTAAAATTTATGTTAAAGGTGAACACTTAGGCATTTGTATCCAAATTAACTATGTATAAATTTTACCCAGGTAAAACATTTTAATTGCAGTACAGAAAAAACATTTGATACAGAAGTTTAAATAATGAAACATGTACCAATCCTATTGAAAATTCTGTTTTCCATATCAATACATAAAATACAAGTATACATATTAAATAGTTGTCCGAGACACAAAAACACACTAGTGAACAATACCATAGGCTTCACACAAATTTTTGTATCAAATATATAAATAAATGTAACTCAAATCACCCAAATTGCAGTGCATTCTAACTGAATCAGAAACACTCTATCCATTCAAATGCAAGAGTAAGAACAGTTTTCAAATCACAATATAATGATTAGTGTTCATGTCACAAACAATATAGTTTTGAGTTTCTAAATATTCATATTAACAATAAATAAGCCCTAGAACAGGCAATTAAACAAGAATCTTTTTTAGTATTTTCTCAATTTCAAAAAAGGTCAATTATAGTTCAGGCTAATTATATACTGGACATTTTCATCATTTATCTCCTGTCCAGCCACTATTTCCTGAACTTCTGCTATTTGCTCGCCTTCAATAATTTCACCTTCGATAATTTCACCTTCCTCGACATTCATTGATTCTGCTTTTACCACTTTAATTTTATGTACACTCGGTACTTTCATCTCCTCAGTTTGATCATATAAGCGATTGAATCGCATCTTCTTTGCCAGCAGTTCATCGTTCTCACTAAAATGATGATACTTGATCATGTGAGTACGCCAGTACTCTTTTCGCATTGATAAATTCCCACAGATGTGACATTCAAACCTCGCCCCTGAATGTAGAGCCTTATGTCTTCCCAAAGAAGATACTGAGGCAAACATCTTATTACATACATCGCACTCAAACTTCCTCTCACCAGTGTGTGTTGGCATATGGTGTCTTAGTTCCGACTGGGAGTAATAACGTTTACCACAATACGGGCATAATATGGACCCTGGTGTAAGGTGACGCCTATAGTGCTTTACCAGCTGGCGTTTCAGCTTAAAAGCAAAGCCGCAGATGTCACAAATATGTGGGCGTTCGTCGGAGTGGATGACACTGTGCTTCTGTAGGCCAGATTGGTTGGCAAAACTCTTACTGCATTTGTCACAGCCAAATGGTTTTTCGCCAGTATGGACGCGAACATGGTCACGCATGTTGCCTGGCCATTTCGATACGTAATCACAAGTGTTGCACTTGAAAACTTTATTACCTGAAAATTAAAAGAAACAAAATGAAGGAAATTAATGTTACAGTAAAAATGTTGGGTAACTTATCTCAAGTCTCCATAAGCATACCACAAAATTAAAGCTTAAAACACTTGGCTACAACTCCATACATACATAAAAATTGCTTGTTTTACAGTAATAAAATGCCAGTCATATCTTTTTCACTCATGATCATCTATGGATAGGATCCAACCAGATAAATCATTGTTGAAATGTATCTTTTTAAACTGGGTGGTATTTTGTTCAAGATTGCATCAAACTTGATTTAGGCACAAAACAATGCCAAGGCCAATGAAAATTATATATTTTAACACTCCATGATAGAGCAAGTTTTCTAAAATGCAAAAAAAAAATAGTATAACAATTTCAAATGCTACCAGAATTCATGACTATATTCCTTCACACTTGATATGGAATTGTGCATTTTTCTATAAAAAAAGTATTTTTCCCCCAGTTTTCAAAATAACCTGTTTCTGAAGGGGAAAATATAGCATGATTCATCATTAAAAGGGGGGGGGGGACTGAATCAAATTCCAACAACTGAGAATGGAATTTACCCATATCTAATACAATATTCAATTTTAATTCAGTTTGCCATGCATGGTACATAGCAGAGACTATCTATATTGACAGCTTTCTGTCTTTCAGTCAATTAATTTTTCCAACAAGCTGATATAAGTCAGCTGCTGTTAAGTCATGGTTCTGATAAAGGATGTGCACAGGGCATTTCAAGGCTATACATATTCTAGCATTTTTAGGGGAAAATATACCAATTTTGGGCTAAGAGTAACAGCCTTTATTGTGCTGCTGTAAAATATAGCGGAAAACATCAATTGATGTAATATACACTCTTAATTGATATAATTATAATTTCCTTAATAGAAAAACATTTGAATTATCCTACAGATGAAGTGGTCTGCAATAATAGGAGCAAGTAAGCAATGTGAAGGGGAAATGAAATAAATAAGAAGTAAATACTCAAAAGCAATAAAACAATTTAATATGGTGTTTAATAGGTTTTTAAATATCTCAACAATTTTCAAAACAGGCCGTTCTTCATTTATACAAATAATGTCAGGCTGTTCTATATTTATACAAATAATGAAAGACTGTTTTACATTTATGCAAATGGCAGGCTGTTCTACATTTATGTAAATAATGTCAGACTGTTCTACATTTATACAAATAATGACAGACTGTTCTACATTTATGCAAATAATGTCAGCCTCTTCTACATTTATGCAAATATTGTCAGACTGTTCTACATTTATGCAAATAATGTCAGGCTGTTCTACATTTATGCAAATAATGTCAGACTGATCTAAATTTATGCATATAATGTCAGACTGTTCTAAATTTATGCAAATAATGACAGACTGTTCTACATTTATGCAAATAATGTCACTGTTCTATATTTATGCAAATAATGTCAGACTGTTCTACATTTATGCAAATAATGTCAGACTGTTCTACATTTATGCAAATAATGTCAGACTGTTCTACATTTATGCAAATAATGTCAGACTGTTCTACATTTATGCAAACAATGTCAGACTGTTCTACATTTATGCAAATAATGTCAGCCCGTTCTACATTTATGCAAATAATGTCGGAGTATTCTACATTTATGCAAAAATGTCAAATATTCTTCAGACTACATAATTATAACTATTGATAGTTTCAATTCCATAATAAAGACGTGCTGAGTACCGATTCATGTGCACTGCACATTGTGTTATTGAAGAAAGCATGCATACCATGTTTGGAGTCAATCCAACTTATAGTGACTGATTTATGCTCTGGACGAGCCTTAGGGGATGCCGACAACGACACAGACAAAAGTAACACCTATATGTCGCCTTTTCGAGGCAACATAAAAATTACATTTCTACTTTCAATACAATTTATAAGGTTTCATATTTAAGTTTCTTTGCTAATGCTTTGCAAAAAGTTAGATCTAAATAATGAAACAGTCTTTCCATTTGACATTCTCTAAAAACTTTGTTAATACATACACATATAGGTATAAAATGTAAAAATTTCACATTTAAAACATGCTGAACTTGTTATCGTTTTTATTTCTTCGACACAAAATTTGTCTTCGTTACTCTTTGGAAGATGATCTTCAAAGCATTCATCTATTTCATTCTTTTTATACATTAATAGAGCTTTTATAGATATTTCGTACATGTAAGTATGCCATAATTCGACAGTGGATTCTTTCAAATTACTGTCACAACTGCCACCTTCTGATATTTGCCTACACATATTTGTACTGCTATCATCATGATTATCAGTGTTAAAATTATTGACAATACTTAGAATAACCCAACTGCTGTCGACAGAATATCTGTCGACAGTTAACAGAATTTTTTCATAGATTTTTTCAATCTCTTGTAAATGTCAAAATGTATCATTCTGTGGAATCTAATGTATTGTTTATTTTGCACCGAGTCAAACTTCGACGTCCTTTTGAAACACTTGATTTCCCTTTACTTTGATCGTCCTCAAGTTTATCAAATCCTTTTTGTGCAACATCATGAGGATCAGACCAGAATTTAGTTGTTCTACCTCTTGTCTGTATACGTTTGTTCCTAATCCACTTATCTGCGTTTTGTTTACGAGGCTCCGGTACTTCATCCGATCCATGAATACTTTTCAAATGACGTCTAATATTGTCTTTGCGGTAGAACACTGCTGTACATAAATGACATAGAAACTGCTGCCGGTCGCCCCTACTCGCGTGAACTTTTTTATGACGTGATAGAGACGTTGAATGATTGAACGCTAGATTGCAAATATCACAAATGTACTTTCTGTCGTCCATATGAACACTTGCATGGCTCTTACATTCTGACGTTGTGTAAAAAAGTGCACTACAAGTACCGCACTTGACAGTCTTGACAGTGTGACGCACAGAATGCCGCTGAAGAGCCTTCATACTTTTAAACCAAGCTGGACATTCATCGCATGCAAATGTTCTTTTGTCTATGTGTATCACTAAATGATCCCTCATGTTTCCGGCTGTATTACAAATCTTCCCACAATGCCTACAGATGAATTTTGTCTTTCCTGTAAAGGAAATTGAGAGGTTGAGATTTAAACATGTATAAATGTAGAAAAAAAAATGACCAAACAAAATTTTTTAAACTGCACTGAAAACATTATTTAAGTAACATAAAACATTTTTGTTTATTTTGACAAAATAAAGCTTATCCGAGGTTTCAAATAAATTTATTAAATAAATTTTTTTTAGTACTTTATACCCCAAATCTCAACCTCTATAACTTTCCTTTTCAAGATATGACAAATTTAAACAAGTTTAGAACTACAAGCTTTAACCTTTCATCAATGACTTAGTAAATACAACACAGTGTCCATTGTCAATATCAAGAAAGTTAAGGTCATTATACAGGTTTTTAGAATCAGGACTAATGTTTAATAAGTACTATGCCAGTTGACCTGACTCTCCAAATAGGAATATTATCATGATACAAGTTATATAGGAAAACACCTTCTACAGTAGGTTCAAAAAGCTAAAATACAAACAGCTTTAACCCCTACCGCACTAAACATCTTAAAAGTGACTTGTCAATCTTTCATTCAGGACAAAACCACTTTTCATTTTTACGGGAAATTTTCGAACTAAGTACTGACTGAAAAGCCTACAGTGCAAATGAAATTCAAAAGTATTGATGTGCCTCTTGGTTTGCACTAGTTGCATGGGTAGAATCTTTTGCCACCAGCGGGCTAAGGGTTCATTGGCATTCTAGTATTACATAAATTAGTGAATTAGTAATCGCTAGCTTTAAAGACAGTAAAACTTAAGACATATCTAGAACAATTAGCTGGACAAGTTTCACAAAATAAATAATTTAAAACACTGCATGCCTATCCACAAAATAAGCCACCACTTGGAATAAATTAAAGACATGCATTTGATGAAATGTCCCCACAAATAAATACAAGCACAACACATATTGTGCCAAGGCTCATCTGTTCAATGATGTAAATTGCGCAAAATGATCCAAAAATGAAGTGTTAGTAACTTACAAAATTAGGCACACAAAATTTTTCAATTTAATGAGCATTTTTTACTTTCCTTTGCAAATTTTTTTTTTTTTTTTTTTTTTTTTTTTTTAAGTGCTTCACTTGATCTATGTAAGAATTTCAAATTTTCTGTTATTAGATTTTTTTAACTCAAAAGAGCTCCTTTTATTGCAACAATGATATAATTAAATTCAAAAGTGTTGTGATGGTATAACTGATATGCACTTCACTTTAAGATGAATATCTATGAATGTGAAAGATATTGTCTACAATAATACAAGTTTATTTTCCATGTAAAAGAAGGGACAGAACTCTAGAAATACTGATCACTTAATAATGTCCCTTGCCCTACATGCCTTCAGTTCCCATTTGCAGGTATACAAAGTATTAGTACAATAAAACATGCTGCGTTCAGAAAATTGCCTTTTGTTTTACAATTGTGCCTTGTCTATCTTATCATTTCTATGTGAATATGTTTCATCGGTGCGTTCTAATGTAAAATAATGAAGTTTTTTCCAAGGATTGATTTCTCGGCGAATATCATACCTTATGCCAATATAATTGTTGTGTTTTTTGTTTAGAATTGGGAAAAAATGTCTGTATTTTCAATTTGGAAAATTCACCATACACAATCAAAGAAGGAAAAAATTCGCTGTCCATATAATATATAAAGAAACATTCAATCTTGAAACTTTGTACAGGACCATTAATCCATCAACTTATCTTAGTAATTCATTGAGAGAAGTTCGCAGTTACTTGAGAAGTTACTTAATCATGTCATCAAGAAAAGACTAGCACTGTACGTCAATCCAAAAACACTTGAAAACAAGACTTCTCAGAATTACTTGACTGAAACAATGTGAAACTTAGTATACTGTCACAAAAATCAAACACATTTTGCTTAGAAAATTTTTCCTAAAAATTTCACTAAATACATAACACTAGGGTTCATTATAGATGCTTCTTATCCAATTAATTTACAAAGAGAATCCAGGAATCCTACATAAAAAGGTTCAGAAATCAAAAGGACTTACCTCTTCAATACTGTCCGAGACTGCCAGCATATCCTCAGATTTAACTCTTAAAGCTCATATATTAAGCATTATCTTCTTCTTTCAAAAAGACGATTCTTGTAGATTTTTCTTGTCAAAAGTTTGTTTTTGAAAATTTTCTAAATGTCAACTCTTATTCAAACATAAAATGGAGCAAAAATATTTATTCTTATTCCATTTACATGTGTGTTCCAGGACCTCTTTACATAGGCTTCCTGGACTCAAGAAGTTGTTTACAGGAACTTAAAATGCAACTTAGGACTCATGAACATTAGGATGTTAAAGGTAACATGTCAGAAATGCTGAGGTTGTACATGTAAAATCAGAAGATTAACCCATAATCTGCTGGAACTAAAGGTAACAAATCTTTGCCACTAGTATACAACTAAGCCAGTGCCAGCCTACACATATGCACAGTCTGACCTGGCCTTTCTGTATATATAGCCAGTAGCTTCATTTTTTTAATTTTGATATTGAAGTCCTTTAAACTTTGATAAGAGTTTGCCAAATTCTAAGCAGGACAAATCTATAACACAAAATCAGCAGGTTATGGGTTGAAACCAGTCAGAATTTCAATCAACCCTCATATGTTTGATATTTAGACTGGTTGCAATCACATTAAGTTATTAACATTTCATTACCTTTGACTCTGTTCATGCTTTCTTTTATAATTCAGACGGTTATTTTTTAAGCATACATATGTAAAAATGATTGTAATAAATAGAAACAGGGCTTAAATGAAGTTTCAAGGAGAGTTATTCTAAAATCATCAGACATGTGTGAAATGACCCAAGGGTTACCCCTTTACAGTAAAAAACAGGCTTTTTCCCAATTCCTTGTCTATATATTTATATTGGTGAAACAAAATATTTGAAATCTGGTGTCATGACATCAGAATGATAAATTAACATTTTTTAAACTTTGAATAACTTTCTATTTCATTATTATTTAGCTATGTGTAAAATTTCAATATGTAGGATTTGGGAAAAACCTATTACTAAAAGAACATCCAAGACATTTCCATAAAAATTATAAAACCTTAAACACTATCAAGATTAAGTCTATGAAAATCTATTTTATAAACTGACCCTCAACTTTGCGCAGAAGAAAGTGGTATTAATTATCTTTTCTGAAAAACTGTCTTCCAAAAAATCTGAACTTAACAGTTGACACCAGCTTTTTTACTTCCCAAATTAGCAATTTTAGCCATAATTTTCCCCAGAGTCAGCAGGCTAAGTGTTAAGGAAATGACTTGAGATGTTCATGTAAAAGTTACAGAAAATCAGATTGACTAACCTTCATCTGTCATCTCTACAGAGAAGTTGGTAGATTCTTTACTGTAATAATTTGTCTTGTCATACTTTCGTCTCTTCTTGCCAGATGATGTTGGTTCTTGTTTGGGTTTCTTCCTTTTTGGTGTTCTTGGTGAACCAGTCTGGTCATCCTCTGCCAGTGACGCATCTCCTAACATTTCAATTTCTTCAAGATCATCCATATCATCATCGTCATCACCATCATCTTCCACATCTTCGCCTTCATCCTCTTCTTCTTCCTCCTCCTCATCATCAAGTTGTGTACCATCCAAATTCATTGTTGGCAATTCTTCGCTTTCAACTTTAATAGTTGGTGCAGACTTCACCATTACTTTTTGTTTACTGTAGTTGTGAGCATCCATTGGAGCTCTGGCCTTAGGATTTTTTCCCTTTGGCTTTTTTGCTTGTACTTCAGCTTTGTCTTTCATTTCCCCATAATCATAACCATCTTCACCAAGCTTTTCATATGCCTCACCATCATCCCCTTGACCAAGTTGCCCACCAGATTTAGCTATTCGGAAAAAAAATCTGGTTGTGCCATTCACTGTCTTTTCTTTTTCAAGTGCACTAACAAGCAATTCACTGTCAACCTCTATTTCAACATTGAAATACTTGACTTCCATACTGTCATATGTAACAGGAGGCAACATAAGTGTTGTCTTATCATTACCCTCCTGTACAAATTTAAATTCATAGTCACTCTGGAACACACCATAATTATCAAAACTATCAGCCTCATCTTCAGAACTGTCCACTACCTCTTCTTTCTGTTTTGCTGCCATTTCCGCTGCTGCTTCTGTTTCAATTAAACTACTGTTATGTGGATAAAATGTCAATCTGAAAGAAGCAAATAAAAATTTATTTTAAAAAACTTCTTACCAAACTTGAAACAAAAGATTCATGACAGCCCTGATTAGCTCGCCAAAACTTCAAATACTGAGCATTCTTTATTAGAAAAAGGCAATTTCGCAGCAAATTGCTGTGATTTTTTTCAGATAATAAAAATTAATTCAATAAAATTAATTGATAGGTTGCTGTGGCTATAAGCGGTAAAGTTGAAATTGGCAGCAACAAATGGCTGTTGCATACCCTAAACTCTACAGGTTTCCCCTGTCCAAGAGGAAGGATTTTGCATTGGTAAAACATTTATTGTAAATGAACATTATTTCAAAGATTCTTGAAGAAAATCATGAAGAAGTTAGTATAACCATTAGTTTTAATGCATGCCTTGTACCCAGCTTGTATAGGGTCAGAATCATTCAGACTCTTCTAATAAATTTGTGAAATCCGATTCACTCTGTAATTTAATGTAATCTAGGGCTGTCATTGAATATCACAATATTGATATACAGTGATTAATCTAGAAATTCCTTACAATGCGTCGGATGACGCACATGTTTGAAAACAATGAGTCCTTTAGCAAAATCAATGAGTCATGTAGCAAAATAAATGCGTCTTAGCAGAATTTTTTTTTTAAAAGCAGATCTTTGACATGATTTGCATGTTTTTATAACAAGCGATTAAGTAATTAAAGTGTATAAAAAAGTTTTTTTTTGGTACTAATATTAATTGCAGGCAAAACAATTTTTATTGGCTGCTCAAAAATCTAATTTGCATAATTTATATTTTCTTACTACTTATGTCTAATACTGTGCATTATCCATTTTAATTGTTCGTAATTTGCAAAAAAATGTCCCTTTAAACACTGTATAACATACTGACAACTTTTATTGCTCCTTGTATGGCCTCTGTGTAGAAAGCATACACAGACAGACCTTTTGATCATGAAAAAGTCATGCACAATGTTTCCCTGATTGGTTAATCACCCTGTCAAATATTCTGATGACGTAATAGACATCTTTTTTTTTACACTCCGCGTGAACTTGAGTGACCTTAGGGGAATTCAATTTACACACCTGTCAGATTATACTGTAACTTACAGCATTTCTTAAAATAGCAACACTTTTTTTTCAGTTACCGATATTTATTTAAAATATTAAGTAGATTAATGATTTTTTGTTTGTTTATTGGATTAAATTTACGGTAGTAGAAATGCTTATCTGTGTGGGAAAGGGATAAGGTAAGTAGATAATTGGAAAAATGCTATATGGAAATGGATAAACTCAAGAATAATGCGGAATTACATGGGAATGGGTAACCTGTTGCTGTTGGTACCAGTTTTGTCTGGATGACGAAATAACATACAATATAAGTCTGGCACAGATTTTAGATGCACCCTTGGCCCTTTGCTGACGATTTTCCTGTGCCATTCTCATTTTTTAGCGCCAATGGCACAGGCAGATCTCTGCATATTTCACCATTGTAGGCGATTCGCTCTCATGCAAAATGGGCGCTCTAATTGGCTAATGCCGATAATGGGCGGTTACCGATCGCAGGGATTTAACGTTTCAAGCAAATTGGGGATTAGTCTTGCACAAGTAATCATCGGAAATTAAATTATTCAACTGAAGAAATTGAAAAATTATTCAACTGATTAAAACAGTACATAGAAATCACTAATCATGATATTTTCGATTATAAACCACCTGATTTTCATGCGTCAAATTGAACGCACATATTTTGAAACTGTGCGTCTTTTTCGATTTTTATGCGTATTTTACGCAAGACGCACATCTAGATTAATCACTGGATATACCATCAATATTCATAATCAGATATAATATCAATACACACTTTCAAATATCAATACAAGCTCACATTTATTTTTATTTTTTTGTGAATATTACCTTCTCTATTTTGCGAAATAAGGGAAGTCATTGTTTTTAAGTTTTCTTGGCTAACAAACTTTAAACTTCATTTTCAAATCTCATTGACAAAAATTATAGAAAAACAAAATTTCTGTTAGTTTGTAGTATTTATAATGTTTTATTTACAAGCTAAATGTGCATTGCCATTTTAAAACCCATGAATTCCCAATTTATAACACATATTTATAACACATGACATATTTATGTTTTTCATTCTATCTACTGTCAAAGATGATATATCGTCAATATTTGTCTCTCAATATATCAATAAAAAATTTTCCATCCATGACAGACCTAATTAATATCATCAAAATATTAATGACACACCACTAAATGTTGGTTGGTTATTTTCTGTCCGATCTGATCAATATGCGTAAATATTGAAATCTTGATTTAATATTTACATTATAATAAGAACATTTTTTTCTAGCCCGTTTGTTTGATAATTAAGGAACAGTAACATATTAAGTAATTAGTACATCAAACAGATTGTTGGGTTAGCAGATAACTACCTGTTTAAAACAAATTTAGATTGGATTTTGGACCAAACTGTCGAGTTTCGGCTAAACAATGTGTAATTTCAGATGACATTTGTTACTGCAAAAGCATTTACCCAAGACATCTATTTAGGTCACAGGCTGAAGGGTAGTCATAAATGATGAAAATAAGGCATAGTTTCAGGGCCTAACTGACCCAGAATGAGATTCTAAAAATTTCTTCACAAAAAATTAACAGGAAATTATCATGGAATCTATACGAGGTAGCTATATAACGTTGTGTTAAAAAGGATCTCACGTGTTGTTTTTTTAACACACATCAACACTGTTTATCGTCAGAATATGCCTGAAATAGGCCCTTAAATATATTCATAAAAATTTAGTTGTACCCCACCCGCACCCTTCGCGCTTAAAATTCTCTTCACCTTTAACATCAATATTGACTATAAAATCTCATTACTGAATATGTTAAATACATCATTAATGTACATTTAAGGGAATGGCATACTTTTGAGTATATTTTGAATCATCAGAAGCATTTTATTGAAAGTTATCTTCTCTCAAAATTTTGTGTTGTGAACCTTAGGCAGGTGACGCCATAACGCAGCCACACCGTGATTTTTGAAAGAAACTGTGCTTTTCTCCGTTAAGGACCGTACTATACCGTGATGTGATATTTAGAGTGCACAACAGAATCACGCGTAATCCTATTGTTAACTTTCATCCATTAATCAATAATTTTGCACTTGCTGAGTAAAAATAATGTTCATAAATATTGAATTCTTATATAGTGTACTGTAGAAAAATAATTTTAGCATCTGTTTGATTTTGCCAACCTATGTGATCGTACCGTACTTATAGTCAAAATATATAGACGTGTCATAGCTAGATTCTGAGATATTTTCGTTCTAGGTCAAAATCTCGCTTTTAGAGGCGAGATATTGCACAGTCAAAAAATAGCACAATATCTCATTGCGCAGTTCAATTAGTTTGACTAGTTCTGTACTGTGATCTACATGTAAATTATTTTTGAAAAATATTTTATAATGGGATAATCCTCCCTAAATACACATAGTTACATGTGAACTCTCCCACTTTTAGCGGGAGACTCCCACTTTCTGAAGGCATATTTTCAAAGATTTTTCTTAAAATAAGGGGTATTTTCACAAATTAAAGAAATCTACCTATTTTTTTGAAGTCAGAACTTCCTTCTTTGATTATTGCAAATTTTAAAATCTCCCTCTTTTTGAAGAATAATCTCCCACTTGATCATCGAAAATTGTTCACATGTATGAAATTTATTATTACATTGAGTTGAGCACACTATTATTAATGTCTCCTAGTGCAAGTGTACCCTGGGAAGAACGTGATGTCTTCCAAGCTGTACCAAATCATACAGATCAAACAAATTATTTAAATATTTGGTTTTAAACGTAAAATAGAGAGAACTAGAATCCCAAAAGAAATTCCAAAACGGCAAAATTTAAAAGTTTGCAGGCTCGGTAAGAATGATTCAGTTCAACGAGAGTACTGGAAAGAGTAAGCTACTGTCCACGTCTCCTAAAACCGGCCTAAGCAGCATTTGGCAAATATTTTCTGTCAGTTGCAGTGTGATATGTATATATAACTAGTACGTGATTAAAATGATATTGTAAATAAAAACTGACGCTTCAAGTAAAATCATTTACATGTACTTATGATTGACAAGTAAGGAAAATTACTGACATTTAGTTACATTTCCTCATTTTTGTTGAATTTGTATTAAATAACAATAAGGCAGGCTGAAATATGGAAATGGCAGGGATGCTTAAAAATGACCCCCTCCTGTTTCTAAAATGTGGATGGGGGTCTGTGGAGTCCTTTTCCCAGGAAAAAAGAAAATTTGCATGTTACATGGTGGCTTCTGGTAGACTTTACGTGCACATTTAAACGTGGCTCAGACTTAAGATTATGCAACTAGAGTGCTAATAATGAAATAGAGTTTTCTGGTGTAATTCCAAAAATACGATTAAAATTTCAATTTCTACATTTTATCAACAAAAAGACATTTATACATGGAGTGGTGTTGTAAGTGCTAGTCTTTCTTGAAATATTAATGATAGCTTCTGATGTACTTTCGAGTGCACATTTTAAAATGCACATTCTATATTTTCCAGAAAATTTCAGACCTTTCTTCGAAACTTTCATTTCATACGAATATGAATAAGGTTGCATAATGTATAGTAGAAACCATAAAAAAACCTTAAACTGTTAATTTTGAAACATTTTAACAGGTAAAATTTCACATTAATGCTTTGTATTTTATCTTTAAAAAAGTTTTTTTCTTTTAAAAAGCACTTATTGCAAATTCGGATATATATCATCATCACATTCAAGGGGCTATTTATAATTTATCTGTAGATTTACTTACTACCTCTAAACTGATTCAGTAATACATGTATCAAAATCTTCTGCATGACCCTGAGTATAGACTATTACACACTGTGTCCAACAGATACATGTACCTCAATGCACGTGCGCGTTTTGACTGACGGTGTTTTATGACTTGAAGATTAGCTGGGGCCCAGGCTCCAATTAGTAAGGATTTAGAGAACAATACTTATCTTCGACCACTTTTTCTTGATATTTTAAATTGTATGTCACAAAAAAAATCAAAAAAAAAATCACAAAACCAGTATGCATGAAGAATGAGAATTAGCCTCTATACAGCTGTTATATTTTTTATGATGTTCTATTTATATGTTTAAATGAGATTCATAATTGTATAGTAAATGTAAATATGATCAGAAATCATACCCTGTTTTGATCGAATCTTTAATAGTATTTTACACACAGAATAAAAGATGTATATCTAGATAGTGCATATTTAGTTGGATCCACGTGAAATTATTGAAACAAATAATTTATTATCTTAGATCTACGTGTTATAGTTTTCAACAGAAGAAAGTGAAATAAATGGTAATGTAACGATTCGCCACAAGAATTATTAATGGACTTAATTAAGGACTTATTTTCAGTTAGTTTGAGAGTTAATTATCTTTGAAAAATTTGGCAATTGGATTATATATTTATATATTATATTTATGATATATAAATGATAGTAGTAAACATAATAATTTACGTACTTCAGCTAATCTCAGTGTTAAGTTAAAAAGAAAGGAAACGAAAAAGAGAGCATTATTTAAAAAGATATAAATAAATAGATATACATAAGTAGTTATGCAAAGATATATAATATTTATCAAATTAGAAACGGTACGTAACATGCTCAACATTGTAATCAAATCATGTTTTAAACACCTTAAAAAATTTCATTTATATAAAAAGTCAGTTTAGAAATTAATTTTGTTGTGAACTTTAGTACAGAGTTTTAGATTTCAATTTTTGCAAAATAAAGTTTCCCAACGCGTTACCCTAATTTTCCACGCTTTTATTATTCTTTATTATTCTTATAATTATGGTACGACACAGTACGGCAAATACCTACGATCAAATAATCAAGCGTCTATGTGACACTTCCACGTCAAAAACTAAAACATGGATTCTCAAGTTTTGGTATGATTTTTAAACAATATGTCCACTTTTTCGCTTTATATGAATAGAAATATCGAGTTTTTCATTTAATTTTATTTTGATTAAGTATTCTGTACGATTACTTCAAAAGAGTCTGTGTAGGATGGTCCCCTACTTTATACTTTTCAGATCTATCTATTTTTATTATCAAGAAATTCACAAACACTTGACTTGGGGGTTATGTGCAAGGCTCCCCTTCTTGACCCGTACTTGTATACACCATGTCTATTTTTATCTTGCAAACCGTGCGTCAAACCGCCTCTGTGGTCAAGTTGTTAGAGTCAATGACTTCTAATCCAGTTACCTCTCTGGCGTGGGTTTGATCCCCGGGTGATGCTTTGGAAGTTTAGCGCGGAGGAAGGTAGTCTAGTACTGGTGTAACTCTCCAGGAACGATGGTTAGGAAACTACCCGCCTATATGACTGAAATACTGTTGGGAAAAGGCGTAAAATGAAACAAACAAACAAAACAAAGGCAAACCTTACATCAAAATATTTTGCATATTATTACGACCTGGTCACATGTCTTGAACATAAAACTTGTTTTCCGCTATTTTGACGTTTAAAAAAAGTCCCTAAAATATCATAATTTCAAAAAGATAACAACGTACAATTTCCTTTGATGTGAGACGACTGGAATGAGTTTCAGCACTGTTTTGCGCTTTCATTTTAATGCAGAGAACCAGACATAATTATCTAACGAATAAAACATGTGCATTTGTTTACACGGAATCATCACATCCGGAGGAATTTCATCCAGCCAGTTTGATAACCATGTGAAATTATAAAGAAACATAATTCAAGTAAAATGAAATGTAAAAATCTTATCGTAAAAAAGAAATAAAATTGTTCTATATTTTTTATTGTTTACCGAAAAAAAAGACCATGCGTAGGTGTGTGAGACGATAACAACGTACATTTTCATTCATTAAACTTTCTATACGAAATTTTCTGTTTCCCTACGATTTTTCCGCTGTACGTTGGGGAAACATTCCAGTTGTCATGAATTCGCAAACAAACATGTGACACGGTTAAGAAAATTTAAGTAAATGTGCAAAGCTTGGAAGAAAGGTACAATCGGATAGTAACATATGTTTATTTATTAGAAGAATATATACCTCGACTGATTTACACAAAAAAGAAATGGCATGCGATAATATAAAAGCTTGAAATTCATGTAGGTCAGTTGTGTTTATATTTCGAAGCTTGGTATGTTTAGGAAATTCAAGCGTTGGTAAAAAATTGACTTTATTAAAATGTTATGAAATTCTATTCAAACTTGTTTATGTGTTAGACACTTAACTGTCTCATACTAATATAAGCAAAAATTTAAAACTAATTCTTGTAATAAATAATACTTTTAGTTTTTAATATTCAGTGTCTGTGAAGAATTTCATGAAATTTAACTTGAACTAATTTTATTTTGATAAAACATGCCGTCTGTACATGGGTATTTATTTAATATATATTATTGTGAATTATGGAATTTTTTAGTTGAACAATAAGATATGAAAGGAGAAAAAGTCCAATAGTATAAGTAAATGTAAGCATGGTTAAGTTAAGTCTCAATATTATGTTTGCAAGACTTTACACCTCCTGGACTCCAATTTTACAAACTGATATTACATAGATGTTGGTCAATTTGTTGGCAAGGTTAAGTTAAGCTCCAGTTTATAGTATCATTGTGCCTAAAAACCCAATACATAAAAAGACCAATTCAAGCAATAAAAAATTGATTACCTTTTAACTTGGTAGTTTGCATGTGATGCAAAACATGTATACTCTTTTTATCTTGCAGGAACCATCTTTGTACTCTGTAAAAGCCATCATGATTTTAGATAATGATGGAAACAGACTAATGGCAAAGGTAAGAACGAAGAGCTAATAAGTATCATTTAGTGTAAATTTAGTTTTTGTTTATATACTTATCCTGGTAGACTTAAGGTAGTATAATTATAGTAGTACAAGTAGTAGTGGCAAATTCAAATAAGTTCAATTGAGAGAAGGTTCCTAAAATTATGCAGGAATTCATGTCTTGCAAGTCCCAATTTGTTGCACAGAGAGATACCCTAGGTCCTAAACAGCATGAATTAAATGGTCCTGATAATGGAAGTTATTTGTTGACCGAAATATAATAAATTCATTTGAAATAATATTTATATGCTCATACTTTCATTTCCCTTATTGTTATAGTTTTTGTTAAACTTATTATAAATTTGAAACTGAATAGATTTCATGAATAGATTAACACAGTTTTGATTTGTTTTGGTTCAGTTTGTTCTTGATTTTTGATTTTATGTGACTATTTTTGCAGTACCAATAATTTTTAAATACTTACACAGCCAACAAATATGGTGTATGGTCTCATTGTTTATATTTTCTCTTTTAGTACTTTGATGATCAATTTCCATCAGCAAAAGAACAGAAGACATTCGAAAAGAACCTGTTCAATAAAACACATAGAGCAAACGGTAAGTGGGTTTATCTTATATCTATGAAATTAATGATCTGATGAAAAAAACTGTCATTCTCATACTGAAGAAATTTATACTTCAAGATCAGTTTTTCCGCAGTTCCGAAGTTGTTACATGTACGTCACAATTGTGAAAGAATGTACATAATAGAAAGAGAATTTATATTGGCATGCTATTTAAGAGGATAACATCCTTCTTCAGTGTTTTTTTTCTCTACCTTGGCAATGGTGCTGGTACCAGACTGATTGGGAAAAAATGCGATATTTTGACTTGAATTGGGAAATTTTTTAATGCATTTTTTCAGCTACAAATAATATTAGAAATCATGAATAAAGATAGCTAACAGCCTCCACTGTCCAGGTAGAACTATTGTGTGGTGATTTAAATGAATATGTTCGATTTAAATGATTTCAGAGAAATCACTTGGCCTTGTGGAAATTTTGAACAACCATTTTGGGAATTTAAACATTGGAAATTGGGAATTTTAATGTCTATATTGTATTGGGAACAGTACCGTTTTAGGGTAGTAGTTATATAAAGAAAAAAACACTGCTCTTTTTGCATAAAGCTGTATTTCACACTTACACTGACTGCAGTCTAGTAGGAATACAACTTTTAACAATATATTTGAGTGTGATATAACCCAGGCAAGAGAATAACTCGCTCATTTCCTAGAAATTTTTATTAGATTACTATACGTTACTTACATGATAAATCAATCTGAGTTGCTTAAGCGTTGTAACATACTAAAAAAGGTTAGTTTGAATTTTGCAAGTTATCAAACTACATTTAATGTGACTTTCATATGGAAATCATAGATTTTATTGAAATTATTCAATTGTCATAAAATACCCCAGAGTGAACCATATATTCTTCACATACATGTAAGATAGTTTGTATTCAACCTGCTTTTGCCTGAATGCTTGGCAGTCTTCCTGCACCACTAAAGCTGGAATAAAAGCTGGAAAGTCACCATAGGTTCTTAAACTTATCAATGCTCAAAACCTAAATAAACAGAGAAAACACCTTTGAATATAATTTTGAAGGTAAATATCATATTGTCATCATTTAATGCATATTTGTAATAATGTCCCAAGAGTTGATAAATGTTTTTACTTTGTATTTCAGCTGAAATTATCATGTTTGAAGGATTGACTTGTGTATATAGAAGTAATGTAGATCTCTTCTTTTATGTTGTTGGCAGTACCAATGAAAATGAGGTATGTCAATTCATAAAATGTTTTCAGATTTGGTTTTTGTATGACTTAAAGGTAACTTTTGGTTTAGCATAGTACTACATGTGTGGGGTGCAGTATCTATCTGTAAATATATGTTTGTGCTGTTTTTAATTTGCAAAGATGATAATTTAACCTTGGAGCCAGGTTTTTTTAATGCATATTATCCATTTGTATTGTATTTTTAATAGAGTATTGACTTTAAAGTTATGATATTTTAAATGGATATTTATTGATGCTGTTAAATTGTGATTGCACCTTCACATATTTAGCTTGGCTGTAGGTATAGATATTCAACAAATTTGAATAGATGTGATAAGAATATTAAGTTGATATCTGATATAGAAGTTCATATTTAAGAAGAAGATAATGTATAAAAAAAATGTTGAACAAAAATCTTGCAGCATAAAATATTCTGTGACATCATGAATGAAATTTCTCAATTTATACGTCTTATCTTCTTATTTTTAAGCAGTAATATATTAATCTGATAATGCAGTTAACTTCTTTGAAACGAAAGTGATCTGCACCGTCCAGGAATTGAACCCGGGTCGCCTGTTTCACAGTCCAATGCTCTACCTACTGAGCTAACCGGACGGCTGATGAGCCGGAACAATTTATACAGGGTTTCATAGGGCCTTCTTTCAATGGTAAAAGTTAACTGTTGAAGTATTACCTTAACAGTGCTTGTGAGTCTGAACAGTGAACAATGAACAGAATCTTACAAAGCGCGATTCTCTTTGATTGGTATACTTAGAATGTCTCTATATGACCTTCTTATTGTTAATATGACCTTCAAACCAAATGTTATGAAGTTTGAAATTGACTGTTTTTGTTTCAGCTTATTCTAGCCAGTGTTCTGAATGCATTTTACGACTCTATATGTCAGATATTGAGAAGAAATGTTGAAAAAAGAGCTTTGTTAGAAAATATGGATGCTGGATTCCTAGTTATGGACGAAATTTGTGATGGAGGGTAAATTTATAGTGATCTTCGTTAATTGCATTGAAGTATATTGAATGTTCAGTGCACTGTTCACTGTTCGCTGTTGGTGTAACAAATATAATACTATAAACCATATATTATATGGTTCACTAAATTTGAACCTTCCTTATGTTGTAAAAATGTGTATACAAAGGGTTTTATCTAAATGCCTGTTTGAATGGCTTCAATCTTGTTATTTTAATAGTGAGTAAAAACTACCAATTAAGGCTATGAATTAGAAAGCATATATTAGAATATTACTGTACCGAAAACAACTCAAATTTCCTTTTTTTGCCATGAAAGCAAAAAGTTTACCTTGTGACTTAAATTTATTACTCTTTCTTAAATTCCACCAAAAGTATTTATTATTTTGTATGCAAAATTCTTCTCAAATGTAATTTGTGTAATGGATTGGCCCTGCTTTGAATTTGGAATAGTCCATTTGAAGTTAAAGGGATTTCAAAATCAAAATATGAAAATTGAATTACCAACTGTATATAGTCTGGTCAGGTCTGAAGTCAAGTCAGACTACACAGACTGTGAGGTCTAATCATTTCCAGTTTTAGCAGTATAAGGCCTTTTTTATCAGTTTGAGTATCTAAAATAATAGAAATGATAAATAGATAATTTCTTTTTTTAGAATTATTTTGGATTGTGACAGCTCCAGCATTGTATCTAAAGTTGCAATAAAAACAGACGATATACCCATTGGGGAACAAACAGTTTCACAGGTAAGGGGAGAGAACTCTCACAGTGTCGATAGATTGTTTTCATTGTATATGCTAGATGTCTTTAATATACACCTATATGTTTTGTAATTTGTAATGTCGATATAAGATAATTTGCTTGAACCCATTTTGTAGATTGAATTAGATTTATGCATGCTAATATAGTGATATACTATCAATTTATATCATCTTTATATACTTGTTTAATATTTAATGTAGTTACATTTGTATGTTTTCTTTTAATGAAATAAAGATAATTAACATAATGGACTTTATATACTGCAAAATCAGTATTATTTGTGGGAAACTAATTTTCGTGGTTTTCGTGGGTACTGGTAGGTCAATCCACAAATTTAAGATTGAACGAAATTTCATCTCATCTACAGTAAGATTATTTTGCATCTTTGCAGTGAATAAGATGGGTATACTTTATTTATAAAGAACTACTGAAAAATCAGAAATTTTATCGAGGGATCAAATCTGGCTATTTCTGAAATTTATTTCTTTGCCAAAATAAATGTTTGCTATTTATCTGAGTATCATATGAATATAACCATTGCCAATAAGTCTTAAATGTTGATTTTGACCTTACAAAACATCAAATTTTACAGTAGGCTAATATTTAAAGCCCTACAGTCTGTCAAGACACAAGAAGAATAAAAAAGTACAAGAAAAGTTTGAAAATCTAGGACTTTTTGCTTCAACATCAGGGGCTGATATAAGTCCCCATTTCAAATCTAACCTAGTCTCTTTTTTACAATTTGTAAAAAAAAACCTAAACAGGGGCTGAAAAATAAAGCTGTTTGGACTCCTGAGAATGTAAATCAGAGACTAAAATAAATACAGGTTTCATGATCATGCACATGAATAAAATCGAAAATTAAATATCAGGCAGCATTTTTTACTTTTATGAATTTCTCAAATGTTCCTAATCTAGAAAAAGTCCGGGTTTCCTTGCTTGTTTTTAGATAGCCACAAAGTGTTTTATTAAATCTTGCATGTTAAGATTCTAACATGTGTGACATCTGACTGTCTAAATAATATCTCATTACTATGATTTATGGTCGGTAATAATTCTACAGTTTGTTGTCAGGGCTATAATTCTACAGTTTGTTGTCAGGGCAATAATTTTACAGTTTTTTGTCAGTATAATAATTCTACAATTTGTTATCAGGGCAATCATTCTACAGTTTGTTGTCAGGGCAATAATTATACAGTTTGTTGTCAGGGCAATAATTCTACAGTTTGTTGTCAGTATAATAATTCTTCAATTTGTTGTCAGGGCAATCATTCTACAGTTTGTTGTCAGGGCAATAATTCTACAGTTTGTTGTCAGGGCAATAATTCTACAGTTTTTTTTGTCAGTATAATAAGTCAACAATTTGTTGTCAGGGCAATCATTCTACAGTTTGTTGTCGGGGCAATAGTTCTACAGTTTGTTGTCCGGGCAAAAATATATAATTCCTCAGTTTGTTATCAGAGCTTCTACAGTTTGTTATCAGGGCAATAATGTATAATTCTATGATTTTTTTGTCGAAGCAATTTTATTGTTATTAGCTTTATTAATAGAAAAAGAGTGTGCTAATTTAATACATTCCATTACTTCTAAATGAAAGCAATTGAAGTCCAAACTTGAGGTAAGTTCTGACTTTAGGGGGCATTCAAGTTTTGAATTTCTTAGTGTTATAAGGTACAACATAGAATATGTTTGAAAATGACTTTAAAAGTCTTACCCAAGTGGAACCTTGTAGAAAAATTGCATTTGTAGTTATTTTATAGAAATAATCTGTGGGATATACTAGATATTCTGAACATTGATTTTTATTTTTTCGTTTAACTTAATAATTATTTATATATTATGATTTATTACTGATGGGAATGAAAGCAGTCTTCTGAATCATTGTCGAAAATTAAGTGGCATGATTTGTAACAAACAACTGACATGATTTCTAATATATATTACTGACATCATTTGTAGTACACTACTGACATTAATTTTAAAATATTACTGAAATCATTAGTAGATACTACCGACATAATTAATCAAATACTACTCATGTGTATTGTAACAAACTATTGACATTATTTGTATAATAATACTGACATTATTTGTATAATACTACTGACATTATTTGTATAATGCTTCTGGCATTATTTTTTTAATACTACTGACATTATTTATATAACACTACTGACATTTTTGTAACACACTACTGACATTATTTGCACAATACTACTGCCACAATTTCTATAATGCTACTGACATTATTTGTATTATACTACTGACATCATTTGTATAATACTACTGACATTATTTGTATAATACTGCTGACATTATTTGTATAATACTGCTGACATTTGTATGATACTACTAACATTATTTGTAAAAAAAACCTACTGACACCATTTGTAATTTTTATAACATGATTTGTACCATTTGACTGACTTGGCTTGTAACATACCTGATATTATTCAAACCTCTGGGCATCCATGGCTGAGTGGTTAAGGTCATTGACTTCAAACCACTTGCCCCTCATCACTGTGTGTTCGAATTCCAGCAGGGACTTCAGAGTCTTTTATGTAATGAAGGTTTCCAGCTAGCTTACGGAACATCGGTGGTTCTACTAATGTGCCTGTTTGTGCACATGAGGTCTTCCACCACTAAAGCTGGAACGTCGCCATACATGTATGACCTACTTTGTGCCGGTGTGACATAAAACCCAATCAAACAAACATATTCATACCTTGCATATTTTTATTGCAATACATATATGTCTGCATGACCCCAATCTGTCAAATTAGAACTATTAGAATAGTGTCATGGATGTGGAATTGATTTAAGCTTAAAAATGGTTCTTTATCTAGGTACAAAAATTAGGTCTTGTTTATCAATTCTGATTGAGTTATGAAATTTAATGTAAACCAGTGTGCATTTGATTAGGCTATATTTTTTACTGTTTTTGTAAAACAAGAATCATAAAAATTAACAACATACATGCATGTAATCATGGTTTTTGCATTAAGTTTACTTAATTTTTATTTTGAATATTTTTTTTATTTATAAGTAATAACTATAATATTTAAAACTTGTTCACTTTACTTATTTATCCTATACTTATTTAAAAGAAGAACAACAATGAAAACAACATTATAACAACAATTGTAAGCATTCTTGAGGAGCAAAATGATCTCTTTGTTTATGATGATAAATATTAGAGATTTTATTTTTGCATTATAGATGCCTTTAAACCTAGGAAAGCAGGTAAGCCCAAAATAGGCCCTACATGTATTGTGGGGGCTTTGGTTTAATTTGGGCACCCAATAGCTTTCAGTTAAAAATAATGATGAATTTTATATTAGCTGTAGACAGTTTAGTGTAATAACTATTGACATTTGACATATGAACCTTGTGGTTTATGGCGTTGACTTCAAACCACTTGTCCCTCACGGCTATGGGTTTGAATCCTGATAGGGACTTTGGATTCATGCCTGTTTAGGGAATATTAGTGTTTACACTCAGGTGTGCGTAAGTGCCTTGAATAGAGCACAAAAAGTGCACCAGTTCTGAGGACTTCCTCCACCAGTTAAGCTGGAAATCAATACTGTGAAAGTGTGACATAAATTGCAACAATATTTTTTTAAAGAATAGGTTAATAAAAAGTTAGTACTAACTAATGAGAAAATATTGTAATAAACTAAGAGCTGCTCTTGCCTTCTTCTGACAGATTTTGTAATACTTATTTTTATATGCCCGAAAGAATTTCGGACATATTATGTTATACCCCCTGGCGTCTGTCCGTCCGTCCGTCTGTCCGTCCGTTAGCAATTTGGTTTCCGGAGCATAACTTAAGTTCCATTTGGCCCAAAATATTCAGACTTCATAGGATGATTGTCCATATTGGGTAAAAGACCCCTATTGATTTTGGGGTCAGAAGGTCAAAGGTCAAGGTCACTATGACCTTAAAACTGAAAACAGTTTCCGGAGCATAACTTAAGTTCCATTTGGCCTACAGGGTTCAAACTTCATAGGATGATTGTCCATATTGGGTGGAAGACCCCTTTAGATTTTGGGGTCAGAAGGTCAAAGGTCAAGGTCACTATGACCTTAAAACTGAAAACAGTTTCCGGAGCATAACTTAAGTTCCATTTGGCCCACAGTGTTCAAACTTCATAGGATGATTGTCCATATTGGGTAGAAGACCCCTATTGATTTTGGGGTCACAAGGTCAAAGGTCAAGGTCACTATGACCTTAAAACTGAAAACAGTTTCCGGAGCATAACTTAAGTTCCATTTGGCCCACAGTGTTCAAACTTCATAGGATGATTGTCCATATTGGGTAGAAGACCCCTATTGATTTTGGGGTCACAAGGTCAAAGGTCAAGGTCACTATGACCTTAAAACTGAAAACAGTTTTCGGAGCATAACTTAAGTTCCATTTGGCCCACAGTGTTCAAACTTCATAGGATGATTGTCCATATTGGGTAGAAGACCCCTATTGATTTTGGGGTCACAAGGTCAAAGGTCAAGGTCACTATTACCTTAAAACTGAAAACAGTTTCCGGAGCATAACTTAAGTTCTATTTGGCCCACAGTGTTCAAACTTCATAGGATGATTGTCCATATTGGGTAGAAGACCCCTATTGATTTTGGGGTCACAAGGTCAAAGGTCAAGGTCACTATTACTTAGAAATTGAAAACAGTTTCTTGAGCATAACTTAAGTTCCATTTAGCCCACAATATTCAAACTTCATAGGATGATTGTCCATATTGGGTAGAAGACCCCTATTGATTTTGGGGTCACAAGGTCAAGGTCACTATTACCTTAAAACTGAAAACAGTTTTCGGAATATAACTTAAGTATCATTTGGCCTACTGTGTTTAAACTTCATAGTATGATTGTCCATATTGGGTAGAAGACCCCTAATGATTTTGGGGTCACAAGGTCAAAGGTCAAGGTCACTTTTACCTTAGAATTGAAAACAGTTTCTGGGGCATAACTTAAAGTTCCATTTGGACCACAATATTGAAACTTTAAAGGAGCATAGTTATTTGAAGGAGGTAATACTTTATTTTACTCCCATGTCTTACAAATGCTTCATCTTTACTAAAAAAAAAAAATCTCTTTCGGGCATATAATGCTCCGCCTAGCGGTGCTCTTGTTAGTTCATTTGATTCATATGAGGGGCAGTGTTTTAGATCTACTCAAAATGATGCAGAGTGACAGATCCTAATCAATGTCAATAGTTATTGCATTGGGGAATATGCAATAAAATTTGGGATTGCTAAAATATGTAGTCTAAAGATGCATAGGAAATTTATACATGTATATAGATTATTATGTTATGAAAAACATGGGGGATGACAAAAGATGCACACTAATGCTTTTAAGGCATTTAATAGTACATGTATAGCTTTCTAGAATAGATAATCTATGCTGAATTTTGTTATGGTAATATTAACATTAATATTCATTATAGCTATACAATGATGGAATGGAAAACTGCAAAAAAATTTATATAATTTTTTGTCAGACTAGGGCTGACCAACTTTCAGTAAATTATGAAAACTGGATGTCGAGCTTGACTTTACAGAAAACTCAGCTGGGTATGAGTGTAACTATGAGCTAGTTTGGTCTTGTGCTGGAAAGGGAGTCCAGTGCTAAGTCTTACTCTGAGATTAAGTTGTTGCTTTGTATAACAGACATCTAGGGTACTTGAACCCATAACCTGCTAGCAGCAAATGGTGCTACCTATTCAACTGGTGCAGACCAACAGACCAGCTGGCACATCTGTGATGTCTGAATCATATCTGCACTGTTTGCTATCCAGTCATTATTCATTTTGAAATTTTCCAAAAAAAAAAATAAGATAAATGGTTTTGTCCAGGTTTACAGATTGACAAGTCCATTTAAGATTTTTTAGCAATTGGTAAATGGGTGTAACACACTATGCACCAGAATATATATTGCACTTCATATATTGCCATCCTTTCTCTAAAGTCTAAACATTTGAATATATACCATAAATTATGTCTTGCAAATAACTTAAACTTGCATAAGACCCATTTTGATAAAAGTCACAAGATTAAGAGGTCTATTACCTTAGACTCACATGTTCATTACCTATCTTCAGTTACAATAGATTCTGTGGCTTCCAATTTTTTAATTATTTTTGAAAATAAATTTTTTTCTAAAAACCAAAAGGTCTTTCCAGTGATTGAGATGTAAATGCATGGGAATGAATTAATAGTTAATAGGTTGTCTCCCTTAGATGCTATATGTCATGACAAATTTGATATGATCAGCTCAAATTGTAGTCAAATTTTAAAAAAAAGGATATGTGGAAAAACTTAACAGCTCAAGGAATGCGCTTATTATAAATGTATTACACAATCACGTATTAGAGGTTAAACTTGTAAGTCAATGTTCAAGACACTTAACTTTAGCATGTATTTAAATTGTAGTGATAGTCATAATGTTTTAGTTAATGTTTCTTGATGATGTAGTGATCTTAATGGTAAAGTAAGTGATAATTCATGTCATAATGATGTAGTGATAGTTAATGTTTTGATGATGTAGTGATTTAATGGTAAAGTAAGTGATGAATTCATGTCATAATGATGTAGTGATAGTTAATGTTTTGATGATGTAGTGATTTTAATGGTAAAGTAAGTGATAATTCATGTCATAATGATGTAGTGATATTTAATGTTTTGATGATGAAGTGGTTTTAATGATACAGTAAGTGATAATTCATGTCATAATGATGTAGTGATAGTTAATGTTTTGATGATGTAGTGATTTTAATGGTAAAGTAAGTGATAATTCATGTCATAATGATGTAGTGATAGTTAATGTTTTGATGATGTAGTGATTTTAATGGTAAAGTAAGTGATGATTCATGTCATAATGATGTAGTGATAGTTAATGTTTTGATGATGTAGTGATCTTAATGGTAAAGTAAGTGATAATTCATGTCATGATCGTTAGTTTTTTTCTGTCCATTTTTTCAAAAGTATTTCTTTTTTTCATGTATATTCCAGGTGAAGTGAATGTATATTTGGGATGGCTTTATTTTAAAAAATGAGATACTTTCATATTGTTCACAATACATTGAATTTTAAAACACATTCATTACAATCTATTGCAACTTTTTTTATTTTTTTACAAAAAATTTTAAGTTTTATGTTTGTTGACATTGTCTTTTGAATATTTCACCTTTTTTTAATTAAAATTGTAATTCAAATTCTTTCACTCTTCACTTTATTTTTTTGCATTTAAGACACATGAGTTTCATTCAAAATTTACAATATCATCTGTTAAAAAGGTTTGCTATGTTTAAATAGATAGGGCCTTTCTTGGACAAAATATTTTTCTCATATTTTTTCAATTCAAAAAAACAATTAGCCCATTGGGGATTTTTCAAGGGTTTTTAACCCAATTTAGGAAGTTTCTTTCCCTTTAAAAAAGTTTTTTTAAAAATTTTACTTTTTTGTTACTTTCTCCACAAATTTTTTTTTGTACTTTTTCCACAAAAATTTTTGTTTACTTTTCTCCCCAAATTTTTTAATTTTTTTCCACAAAATTCTTACTTTACTTCACAAATTCTGTAATTTTTTCTTCACAAAATTTTTTTAAAATTTTTTCCCAAAAAAGGTTTTCTTTGTACTTTTAAAAAATCCAAAACCCAAAGGTTTTCTTTTTTTTATTTTTTTTCCACAAAAATTTATTTTTTCTTCCACAAATTTATTTTTTTTCCCAAGTTTTCTTTTTTTTTTAAAAAACTTTTTTATTTTGGTAGGGGAACCCTTTACCTTTTTTAAAATTAAATTGTTTTCGTTTTTTTTTTTTTTCTTTTTCACATGAAAACAGTAAAGCACATAAAGGCCTTGCTAATCAAATTTGAAGTGGTGGAGGAAATCTATGTAGCATGCATTAAATATTCAAAGAACTGTATAAAATTTCACGTTTTGATAAAAACTCTTGAACATTTTTTTCCAGAGATTTGCAATTTACATTTTATATAGTTACTCATAATGATTATTTAAGATTGTTCAAATGATTATAGTCAACAGTAGAACATTTTATTTGAATAAATAACTGATTAATATTTACTTAAACTGTATTTCATATGTTCTTAACATTGTGGAATCATGGTGTATGATAACTATATGGCCCTAATATTCCTCTTACTGTAATTCTAAATTTTAATTTTATATTTGATCTTCTATTTTTTTTACACTTGTCTAGATTTTGTTGTCTACTTCATTTAAATATTCAAAGTGAATACACC